TTTATTACCGATCAAACGTTATAAAAACAAGACAGTATCCATTGAGTTTATTACCGATCAAACGTTATAAAAACAAGACAGTATCCATTGAGAAAGTTTATTACCGATCAAACGTTATAAAAACAAGACGGTATCCATTGAGAAAGTTTATTACCGATCAAACGTTATAAAAACAAGACGGTATCCATTGAGAGAGTTTATTACTGATCAAACGTTATAAAAACAGGACAGTATCCATTGAGAGGTTTCACTTCTTCTGTAGTAAGTTTTCAAACAAATAACTGTTTTTTATAATCTACAACTAACCACATCTTTTTAAACTTAGTATCTCAATTTACTTTCACAAAATTTTCAATAATCTATTATTTTATGTATGCAGCAGGAGCTATTTTCACTCAACCCTTAAGAAAACAGTTACTTGCTGCTGATATTAGTACTAACTTGGTGGCTTAATTGTTAAATAGATTTGAAGTTTTATCTTACAGTTTTTAATCTTATCTGTGAACTTCTTAATTCAAAGAAAGTTGAGTATCATATCTGGTTATCCTGATAATTGTATTAACAGTTTGTCACGTGTAATTCCAATGAAATTGGAGTCCAATTAATGATTTATTTTGGGATGATTTTTTTTTCTTATCTTTTTTTAATAGAAATAAAATATATTTACGTGTTCATAAAATCTTATAACGATCCACCCAGTTGTAAACATTTATCTTAAACTTTCGATATAATTGTTCCCACTTCGGCCAAGTATTAAATAAGCCATACTTCACTATTTGAGTTACTGGTGTCAATTTGATGAATATTTTAAATTGTACCAGTAAAAGATGAAAGGCATTGTCAACTGAACAGTTTTATTGTCTAGTTGTGAAGAGTCACAAGCCCACCTCCCCCTATCCCCAAAGTGTTAGATAAAATATGTCACAATTGATTTCTTATATACCAATAAGAAAATTTGTTCGAACAATTCACAGGTCGTCGTTCCTAAGTTGACAAATACTCCAGTAGATGAGACAAAACTGAATCAGTTTCTCAAGGGTCTTGAAACAGATTTGCAACAGTTGGAGACTGTGTTTTTGAGAAACCGTCCTTTTTTGTGCGGAGAAAAGATCACCATTGCTGATTTGCTGGGAGCTTGTGAAGTGGAGCAACCTTGTGCAGCGGGATTTGATGTGTTAGAGGATAAACCTCTCGTGGCTGCTTGGATTGAGAACGTAAGAAACCATCTGGCACCTCACTATGATGAAGTCCACCAAGTGTGTCGACAAGTTAGAGATCGTGTGGAAAAGTCCAAGCTGTAGTTTACAACATCTGCTTCATGTGATTTAAACTTGCCTGTAGGTTTAGGAACTTCGGAAATGATTTTTTAGAAAGAAATTATGATGAATGTGGAAAAGTGTTTGTGTAATTGGGTTGTAATTTGATAAAATAAAGCTTAAGACTTGATGTTAAATTGTTTATACAGTGCAGGTGGTCTGGCTTGGTTGTTTTCCTTTAGACTTTATGGTAACTATTCGTTTCACGTCTTGAGAGACGCCATTTTCCATCGATAATCTCTTGAAAATTCAAGACTTCATCTGGGATTGTTAATTGTCCCGTTTTTTAAACAAAATATGTAAAATATTCGTATTTTGTAGTTAAAAAAAATTGAAAATAATAACACACTTAAGCCATCACTAGGTGAAATGTTATAAAAACAAGACAGTATCTATTGAGAGAGTTTATTACTGATCAAACGTTATAAAAACAAGACAGTATCCATTGAGAGAGTTTATTACCGATCAAACGTTATAAAAACAAGACAGTATCCATTGAGAGAGTTTATTACCGATCAAACGTTATAAAAACAAGACAGTACTCATTGATAGGTTTCACTTCTTCTGTAGTAAGTTGTCTTTATTTTAAACCTTGCAGAATTTAGCAAAAGGCTGCTACTTTCGTTGTAATTTACCCGAATGCGCATGCGTGGAAGTATAAATGATAGATCACTAGAATGGACAATGTGTCGCTCCCATTTTTTCCTTTCACGTGCATGGTCTCTTTATTTTAATATAGAAACTTTTGTGTCAGAAGTAAAAATTTGAATAAAGGATACTTGTTCAAGATCGGTCCATCAATCACGATTTCAAATAGACGAGGACTTGTGGTGTATTACTTCTAGATACTCTACTGATTATAAGTAAGAAGAGTTTAAAGAGATTGTTGACACAACTGCCTATGAGGCCTTTCGTTCAATATCAGAGTTCCTTAAGTCGTTTGAATTTGATTTTTAAAACATTGGTCGAAACGCCATTTAAGTTATTACTCCTAACTCTAAATACAAATTTGTCAATAACATAAATAAAATTGTTAAAAATTATAATTCACCTACTTAGTTCACACCATAACGGTCATTATTTATTAAATATGATGATATAAATAGCGCATTGAACACTGTTAGTTTATTACGTCTATTGTATTACAGCTGGCTTGATGAGTCCTACTACTGGGTAAAAGGCCTCGTCGGTACTGGACGTGGCAGATGTAGTGTGGTTGACAGAAGTTCTTAGAATTATACATATTTTATGTGAGAAAGGCGCCTAACTGGGTGATTTTCGTATTACTTAATAAATACTTACAATTTACACGGTTTGTTGTTATTTGTTATTTAATGGTATGTCGGCGTCCACCTATCTTACTATAATGGACGTAGCGTATATTTATCTATCTATCTATGTGACCGAAATAATATACGATGTGGCGCCATCTATTGAGTGGAACCACAAACAATCCACTAAAAAATATCACACTTTGGGTATTCACGATTTAGACAATTGTAGAAATAAGTACAGTATGTGCAACAACCATTTCTTTATCACAGAACATAATTTTGAATAACAGTACTCTCATGACAACAAGAACACGACTTTTACTAGAACTGTACATGTGGGTTTGATTATATCTTTTATTGATATAATTTGTAAATATGGTACTAAAAAATGGAGTTAAAAAAATTCTTATGAAGTTTGTAACTACACCCAAAAACTGTTAAATATTTTTTAACCGTGATCAAAGTTGGTTAGTCAATTATTGTTGAGATTCGCGCAAGTTAACGGATTTTGGAAGGCTAAAATCCGAGGATCGATTCCACGCGGTGGACACAAC